CCTTAGCGCTGTCACCTATGATGTTAAAAAAAGAAATTAAAAAAACACAACTTTTCAGTATCAAAGACCCTAACCCTAAAACATTTTTTAACACGTTCTGAAAAGTTGTTGTTAATGGGGTGCATTGATTTGATGCACATTGGACTAAATATACATAGAAAATGAAAATACTTTGAAAATAATCAACATTATGTGGCACAATCAAACATAGTTGACAACAAATATCCAAATTGAATTTTATGTCCAGCAATACAAACAAATCATTATATATTTGATATTGTAGTTTTTGTTCAGAAATCATGTAAATCTGCATAATTAAAGTGGTTTATCCTTTTCACCACCAGACTTTCTCAACCAAAAGTTTTCTGTTTTTTTCTGCTTATATTCTTAAATATTTTTAATAATGAATCCTAATTTTAGAGCCAACAGACAAAATTTTAAAATTGGCTATTTTTGTCCCAATCTTCTGAAGGAAAGTGCAGACTATAAACAGGACTATTTTGTGAATTTGTGCTGAAAAGAGGGAATTGGTGGTGAAAAGGTTATACCACAGAGTTAAATCAGCAATTGGTCTAGCCTAATATCCAGATAGATGGAAGTCAGCCACCAACAAGAGAACTATTTTACAGCATCTATGAAACATAATTCATTACCTATCAGCACCTCTAAGTACATAGTAATTAGTAAGTTATTCCCTAAGTTAGCCTTAAATAAACCCAACATGTATGGCCTGGTTAACAGCTTGGAATGTTGCCATATGCCTTTTTTTCTAGTCATAAATTTAAAACGTACAATTTTATTGCATAACATTGTAAGTAAAAGGTGTTGCGTAGCATACAAAGAAACGAATAAAACCCATTATATAGAGTTGAATTTATTGTTATGTAGTCTTACATGGCATTACTTGTTAAAAAGATGTATGGAAGTACAACTACTGTGGGTAATAAAAGCGTTTGTCCTACTGATCTAGTATGGTATGATAAACCAATGAATGATGGATGTGTTCACTATTCGGGGACACTGTTAT